GAACCGAGAGCAATCTCTTTAAGGAATTTTTCTGTGCTTTTGTCCTTTCCATTTGGAGAAAATAAAAGACGGTGGCGACTCTTGCTTCCGCGACATTTCGCGAACCAACGTTAAACAGTCAGTTCCAGATCCACCGATCACAATGTTCTTTGTAAGGGATGGGGTTTGGATGCTTAGTATCCCACTCTCCTTTGATCTGACTGATGACCAAAGCTGAGTCCCCAAACACATATAAGGATTTGATTCCCAAGTTTATGGCAGCCTTGAGTCCAAAGATGCATGCCTCGTACTCTGCCATGTTGTTCGTACAGTTGAAGCAAAGTCTGGCGGTGAAAGGAGTATGACAACCTTCTGGGGATATAAGCACAACACCGATACTGTTACCAAGTGCATTGGAGGCCCCATCAAAGTACAGGGTCCATCGGGATCCTTGTTCAGGTCCGTCATATGGTCTGATATCTTCAATGTTGTTCAATGTCATGATGTCCTCGTCAGGGAAGTCAAACTTCATGGATTGGTAATCTTCTACTACTTGATGAGCCAGTTGGTCAGCTAGCACACTCCCCTTTATAGCTTTTTGGGTCGTGTATTGTATGTCGTATTCTGTTAGGATCATCTGCCATCTAGCTATTCTTCCAGACAAAGCAGACTTCTCAAAGATGTATTTTATCGGATCCATCTTAGATATCAACAAAGTGGTATGAGTCAACATATACTGCCTTAGCCAGCGAGTAGCCCATACCAAAGCGCAACAAGTTTTCTCGAGCAGTGAATATTTGGTTTCACAGTCGGTAAACTTTTTGCTAAGGTAATAAATGGCATGCTCTTTTCAGCCAAACTCGTCATGCTGCCCCAGTACGCACCCCATTGAATTCTCTAGGACGGTCAGATACATGATTAGCGGTCTTCCTTCAACCGGTGGCATCAAGACAGGAGGTTCTAGCAAATACTCCTTGATTTTATCAAAAGAAATTTGACATTCATCGTTCCATCTGACTACCTGATCTTTCTTCATCAGCTTGAAGATTGGTTCACAAGTAGACGTTAGGTAAGAAATGAACCTAGCAATGTAGTTTAGGCGTCCCAAAAAACCTCTGACCTCCTTCTCAGTGCGAGGAGCAGGCATTTCTTGTATAGCTTTGACTTTGGCAGGATCAACCTCGATGCCTTTGTTGCTGACAATGAAACCTAAGAGTTTACCGGACCAGACTCCGAATGTACACTTGTTTGGGTTCAATCTGAGCTTGTACTCCTTCAACCCGACAAACAGCTTTTGCAAATGATCAAGGTGTTCTTCTTCAGTTTGTGATCGGGCTATCATGTCATCTACGTAGACCTCTATCTTATGATGTATCATATCATGAAACAAAGCTACCATGGCGCGTTGATAGGTTGCCCCGAAATTTTTCAGTCCGAATGGCATCACTTTATAGCAGAACATACCCCACTGTGTGACAAATGTAGTTTTCTCCATGTCCTCAGGTGCCATTTTAATCTGGTTATAGCCTGAGAATCCGTCCATGAAAGAAAATACTTTGTGCTGAGCTGTGTTGTCGACCAGGATATCAATGTGCGGAAGTGGAAAGTCATCTTTAGGGCTGACCCTGTTTAAATCTCTGTAATCCACGCACATTCTCACTTTGCCGTCCTTTTTAGGCACAAGAACAATGTTAGTAACCCATTATGGATATGAAGTAACAGCCAGAAATCCAACATTGAACTGCTTCATAACTTCTGCTTTGATCTTCTCTAAAATGTCAGGTCTCATGCGTCGGACCTTTTGTTTCACTGGTGGACAGTCTTCTCTGGTTGGTAGACGATGTACCACAATGTCTGTATCGAGTCCCGACATGTCTTCGTATGATCAGGCGAAGATCTCAACATAATCATGTAGTAGCTGAATTAGGCGCTCCTTGACACTCGGCTCTAGATTGGCACCTATTTTAATTTCCTTCTTATAATCCTCAGCTCCTAAGTTGATTGTATCCAATTGCTCTTCATGAGGCTGAATTGCTCTTTCCTCTTGTTGTAGTAGTCTGGCCAATTCCCCGGGCACCTCACAATCTTCCTCACCTTCGTATTCGGCTTGGTAGATCAGATCTTCAGAGTCACTGAAGGCTATAGTAGTATCGTTACCCATGGGATCCAGAATGGAAGGGTACCTGCATTTGTGAGTGTGGGTGTGTGTAAGGGTATAACCATCTTAAAACAATAAAATGTAAAAGAAAGACAATGAGCAAAAAGTGTATATGTGAAAAAGCGTCCATGATTGAATGACATATGAAAATGAAATAAAAAACCTTACAAATGGACCATTGTGCCTTGGGTAAGACACAAGGTTTAAAAAGTACGAATTTTTTTGTGAATTATTACAGTCCAACAGAAATGGAAAAGATAAATTACTGAGTTATGAAAGTAATCAGAACAAAGTCTTTTGCTTCCCAGTTGCATAGTCCTCTGCTGATAGTAGGAAATATCCAATCTTCAAGGCTGCCCTATTCTTCACTATCCTCTAGTGCATTAACCCCTCGATGGCTGATCTTCACAGGTGGCCCTCCGGCATGGGCGCGGTGCACGGCCTTCTGAGCAGTCGAAGTGAACCCCAAGTCAAATTTGTCTGATTTGAAAGGAAAGTCTAGAAGCTGCCCCCATATGGTGGATCCGCCTTCTTCCACTACTGCTCTTGCATCCTTTAAAGATGACATCCGAGGTGGTGGTCTTGTGATCACAGGAGTTGAGGACACCGCCTTGGTTGCTGCTATTTCTTCAGAGACTTCTTCAAAATGTTGGAAAGGGGTCTCTATGAATTCGCCATCTAACTCCACATAACGGAAGGAATTCAGATGACTAATCATATATTCCTCTTCCCCATGGACAATTATGATTTTCCATTGGACGGGGTACTTGAGCATCTGGTGCAAGGTGGAGGTGACGACACCGACATTGTGAATCCAGGGACGTCCCAACAGGCAAGAGTAGGAAGGACGAATGTCCATTACATAGAATATCGAGTTGAAGGTCTGAGTACCCACCTTGATCGGGATGTCCACCTCCCCATGGACCATCCTCTTAGAACCATCAAAAGCTCTAACCACTATGTTACTGGGTTTTAGAGTTAGCCCCTCACAATCCAATCTATCAAGGGCTTTCTTCGGCAAGACATTTAAAGACGATCCAGTATCAACCAAAACATGAGCTAGGGTTGTTCTTCTGCACTCCACTGAAACATGTAATGCATTGTTGTGTTTTCTCCCTCGGGGTGTCAAGTCAGCATCGGAGAAGCCCATGCCATTATCAGCTGTCAAACTGGCCACGCAGTCCTTGAACTGGCCAACAGACGTCTCTTGCGGCACATGAGCTGTCTTCAGAAATTTGACCAAAGCTTTAGCATGTGCCTCAAAGCACAGTAGTAAGGCTAACATAGAGATTTTGGAGGGGGTCTGCCCCAGTTGTTCAACCGCATCGTAATCACTTTTCTTAATGATCCTCAAGATTTCTTCCATCTCCTTCTTGGATGTTTCAGGAATAACTAGTGATTGAGCCTTCGTCTGGACAAGCTCCTCTTGAACATTCTTTCCTTTATTCTCAGCAGTGGAAGCAGGGATAAAAATTGTATTGTCTTTGTCAGCGGGTACACTTTTAGGTACATTTGTTGGTACAGAGGTTTGTTGTACCCCAATTTTTGACCTAAGATCCCATTTTTATTTTTGCATTTTTTAAGATAAGTCAAGGTCACGAAATACGGTCGGTTTTAATGTCTCACCTTCAAGCTTTGACTATGCGAAGATTGTCAAGTGTTTTGAACATTTTTAGCATATGTACCACTAATTTCTAATCGCATACAAAGGTGTATGTTCATGTTTTCTTTTGTGTCATGTGCAGAGACAGGTCTGAATCAAGAGCATCAGGTGTCGCGCCTCAATTAAGGTTTTGAGTCTCCCAAGCCAAAAGTACGGTTGATTATGGATTCTCGAAGACTGATTCATCAAGGCACAACTGTTGCACCCTAAATTTCGCCCCTAATATGTTTTAGTCGCACTTTCATATCATATTTTGTTATTTAGTCACAATCATTAGTAAATATCTTCATTCATCACATTTTGCATCATTAGTCGTATTTAAGTTGACCAGAAAAAAGTCAGTTTAAATCAAAGTTTGCATCGTCTTTTAGTTAAAAAAATACCTGACATTTCACTTCATGCATTTTTATCTCTTTACTCGTTTCTTGCATTGCTCCAAGTTGTTTATATGTCGATAATAAAAATATTTTGGTTTTATAGACAAACTGTTAAAAGCGATTCAACAATGTGCGAAAAATTAGCGAGAAAAATATTTCAAGTTTTCACCTTTTACCGATCATTTTATGAATCTGCATCTCGCATAGATTATGACGGTATGCTCACTTTATTTTTTCGATACAGTTTGAAGTCTCGTTTTTAACCGTAAAACGTCTGTTTAGCCTGGTATTTTCATTATCATTTTATTCCTATTTTTACTTTTTTGAATATTTTTTCTTTAATCTTTGTGACATGTAGTTTATTTTAATGTGTTCATTTTATTTTTTCGGATAAATTTTCGTCCGTTTTTTATTGTTTTCGGTCATTTTAGCTCTTTATTTTTTATTCAAAAAAATATATTTTAAATTGAATTAATTTTAATACTTTCAATTTTTATTTCATTTTTATCATTTAAGGGCTATTTGGTCACAAAAATATATTATTTACACTGTGCTTGATTCTTATTGGTTGTTAGCAAAAATAACGGATCAGTAAATTGAGTTTATTTTGAATGACTCTGATTGCAATCATAAACCCATCTCCACTTTATTTTTCTATTTAAGTAGCATTATTTCTTTGTAAAAAAAAAAAACAAAAAACAACAACCAAAAGCACTTACAGTAAGCAATTACGTTTCACTTTCTTCCTCTCTCTATTACTAAACAAATTTCCATTCATCTCTCTCACTATTCCTTCCACCTACTGTACAAATCCCTTATCCAATCAATTCCCTTCATTTCCACACATACTCCCACCGTTACCATCTACTTCATCTTCATCAATTATACCATCTCCCCTATTCATTCCGCCACAAACCCCCTCTCTCCATGCACAATAGCTACTCCAAACCTCACCTTCCTCCATCAATCCGCCACTGTTAACACCCAACCTTCATTCAATCGATCCAATCTTCCCATAACTCCCTTCCGATTCCATCAATATCACTGTAACCTCATCCTTTCTCCATGTAAACACAAAACCATTAACACCACTAACCACCTAACTCCTCCAGTACATAACCGTTCCTCTCCTTCCACTGCAAACAACCTACACACACATCATCCCAACTTCTTCTTCTCTTCACAATAACCTCATCTTAATTCCAATCTCCTCCTTCATATTTCTGCGATACTGTCAATCCCCTACCCACAAACACCATCCGCCCCTGTTCCTTCACAGTCCCAATTTTGTAACACTGATTTCGCAAGCAATTTCAAGTCGTTGTACAACACCAACAACTTCCGCGAATTCAACAGTGATTCATCATCTTCAATTTTCCAACAGACCTTGCAATCCGCTGTCAGCACCTCTGTCATTCATCCGCATCACCACTACTACCTCGACTGATATTGCAGCTTCCTCCTCCGCTATTTGCCTCGCGATTTCCAGCTAAAGCCTCCCTCTGTCCGTGCGCATCCGCTACCGTCAACAACTTTGGCTAGTAACTTTCGTTTTTGACACGGTTCAGTACTTTCTTCTCTAGTTTTTTTTCCTGCAGTTTGAAATGGTTAAAGGCTTGTTTGGATTGAATAATAAGAAGAATGGCGTTGTGCTGTTAATTCAATTTTGATTGATATGTTTGTTTTGTTTTTGATTAAATTAGTTTTGTTTATAATTATTGAATTTGAGATGTTAATTTTAGGTTGCTAATTTAATTGATAACATGATGATGATTATTGATTGTAATTGGAACTTTGATTGTGAAATAGGAACTTTGGTGATTTTTTTTAAATTGAAATGAAGAACATGTCGTAGTGGTAGCGGAAAGGCTTGGTGAACGCAAATAACAGTAGCAATGTTTTGCCAATTTCCTCTGTTTCCCTCTTTCAATTTCAAAACAGCTTCATTCCTTTGTAATTCGAACCGGCCTCAAAGCCCATTCTGCTTGCAATACCGTATTTTTTATGCCTAAAAATCGAGTGATGGCATCTCTTTGCTTAAGTGAACTTTCTTCTTGGTTTAGTTTCCATGAAGGTGACAATAATGCCGCATTTTATTTGCGTGTAAATCTGACCGAGAAACTATTGAGACAACATTTTGTTTCCTTTATGTGAACTATTGATTCTTGTTTTCCGTTGTGGTTTAAAATAGCGATCACTTTTGAAATTACTTAATGGAATACATGTATGCAATGCTGATTTTTGTGTTTACATTGAATAATATCAGGAATTCTTGATTTTTATTTGTGTAAATATTCATTTGTTCATAGGCATCATACAAGTTCATTTTGATTTTTATACTTTGTGGTTACTAACATAAATTCAAATCTTGTTACAAATTCATTTCATTTCTTTATTTTGTGATTTCTAACAAAGTTTTTAATTGTTGCGATTTCATTCATTTTAATTTTTATACCGCTTATGCTACTAACAAGTTTGCTTACTGTGAAGGTTTTCGAGAACAATTTCAAGCGTTCGTTCTCGCATAGCGCATTTATAATTTTTCTTTATTCCCTTTTTACCTTACTATTTTGATTTAATATTTGGTATTGTAAATATATACTTGTACATAATATTTTGACTGTCTATTCACTTCACTTGTAAATAAATTCAGGTTTTGGAAATATTATTTTCATTGCATTGTGATTTTATTTTTAATTCCATCTAACTTCTGAAAATTGTGCGGACGCACATAAGTTTTCCCCGTGCTGTTAGATTTGGTCGGTATATCTCTTGTGATGTAGGGATTCTTATCTGATACCGTGAGCTTTATCCATCGCCTTTGCGCTTTATCTGATTCCTCTCCTGACACGCTTTTCTCGTATGTGATTTATTTTCACTTGATGCGCTTTATCTGATACTTGGAGTATTATCTCACATCAGGTTTTTTTTGATGCTGTCGGCTTGTGATTTATTTTCACCTAAGGTTTGGTATACTCTTAGCTTACTTATCTGTCTGTGGCTTTAAATCCAAGGGAAAGAATTAATTTGTTGACTTCATGTCATCAAGTATCTAATACGATTATGTGAAATCCCTTTATACTTTTTTAGTTTTGTTACTCTTAAGACAAATCTCCTACAAATCAATTTTTAAACTCACACCCCTTTTAAGTCAAAACTTCAACACTAGGTCGTCGTATCTTCAAAATCTCATCCATACCCATTTAACTAAACAAACAATTTTAACCAAAAAACAGATATTTCAAAAGGTTCCTGCGGAGTACCGCAGATGCATTGGGTGCTAATACCTTCCCATTGTATAACCAACCCCCGAACTCTCGATCTCTTTTAAAAACGCATTGTATTTTCATTACTTTTAAATATTACTTTACATTGCATATTTTAGGGTTTTATTTCGCTCTTTTCCCTTTTCCCTTGGAAATAATAAAGCGCGGTGGCGACTCTTGCTTTGGTGAGTCAAGTTAATTAATAGCTTGATCTCCGATTTTCACCGCTACAGAATTGGCGACTCTGCTGGGGACAGATTGACCTCTTGCTGGTCCATCCCTAAAGTGGGTTAAGCCTAATTTGTCATATTTGTTTTTGTTATTATTACTTGTTTGTTTGATTAATTGTGATATATTGTGGTTATTTGGGTTTTTGCAAAGGACAAGTCCTATACCCGGACTAAGTTACACTTAGGAATAGGACGGGCGGTATAGTCATGTTAACTTTGAGGGAGTAATCCTGAAGAAGGATGCATGAGATCCCCCACTCAGTGGAAGGCCCTTTTGAATGTAATATTTGTTTACCGAGTAATCGGGAAGACATTATTATTTTCGACCTGGGAGCCAGAGAAGCTGGGAACCGTAGAACCCTAACCCATCTTGGCCTTTTAGGTGTAGTGCGGAGATTATAACGGAGTAATCCGAAAGTAATTGTTATGCGATGCTACGCTCGGAGTAGTTTCTCTTGAGAATATTGCTGATTATTGAGTAATCAAGACGTTGGTAATATCCGAAAGAGGAATGTAGACTCCGGGAACTCTTAGAACCTTGTTCTACAGGTGTGATTAAACCGTTAGTACATACCTTAGGGGTGTTCCTTACCTTGACTCCATGCTTGTGACGTTGAACCTTTCGACTTTATTTATGACCTTGCTTGTGGTTGTTGCATAGCCATGCATTCATGCATCCATAAAACCCTTTTCACTTGACTTTGAAGGAATTTGGAGGTCTTTCTTTGTAAACATCACAAGTTTCGTCGAGCTCAATGGATCTTGGGTGTTGATAGGGCGAAAACCCTAATCCACCAAAATGGATGATTGATCTTGATGATAACTTGATCAATGTTTGGAGCCAATTTAAAATTCATCTTCTATCTTCATACTTTGATGTTTACAACTTAATATCTTGAGTTCCTTGAAAATCAAATAAAAACTCTCTTTTGCATATCATACATCATTCTACATTTTTTGTTTCACTTTCAAAGGTCTTTTTTCGAGTCTTATTTTTCCTTTGGTCTCACCAGTACAACACTTGCGCCAAGAGAACAATGGAGAATATCAAGCAAGAGATTTCTGAACTCCGCAGAGAGGTGACTAATTTGAAAGCTGGTATGGATCACTCAACTGTTTTGGTTGAAATTTTGGTTGCTGCCCAAGTCAATCCTTCTAAGAAGGAGGAAGCGATGATAAAAGTATTCACTGATTGTCATTCAAGGACGTTGGTTTTAAAGTTCAAATCAAGCACGTGCCGAAGAGTAAACACGATTGATGGTCACTTTGAGTTTTGAAGGATGTTTTCGGTGATTCAAGTCCAGATGGAAAGCCTTCCCCGATCATTAACTTATTTCTGCTTTTTGTAATTTTTTCTTGTTTATCAAAACATTGTTTGCATGTAAGAACTTGTTTGAATCTGTATGATTATCTTAATACAATGAGTATGTTTGTCTTGAAGAAATTCATTCGTTTCACTCATATTTGTTTTCAAATTTTAAATTTCTTTTGGCATTATGATACCAACTTGTTGCCCATTCTCTTGCCTAGGCAGAGATTGAAGGGAGGATGATGATCTAAAGAACACAAAATCTCTGGTTGTTTGCTTTTGGATAAAATCTGGCTGATGATGTACAAGCATTGTTTCAAATCCCTAAACACCAGAGATATAAGGAAGATAATCCCTTGCTAACCCCTTTTGAGCCTTTGAAGTAGAAGTTTCTTTTCTATACGAAAAAACCCTCAAATTTTAACCTGGGGCAGGGTAGTTTTCAGTTAATCTGATTGAGTGTTCAAAATTCAAAAGGAAGATATTTCCGAAGAGAAACCGCGAGGGCTACCTTCATGTATAATGAAGCTAGAAGATATGGAACCACAATGTTATTCCTTATTCATCAAGAAACGAGGTAGTTATATTCCTCTCAACAATTAAAGATAAACTAATGTCACACGTTTTGTTCAAAAAAATCAAGAAAAAAAAGCCTGCTAAGTCGAAAACTTGAAAACATGCGGCTTAAGCAAAAATTAGGCGATCCTGCTGGAATATCAATTCAAAAGAATCAGTTCAGGCAAAAGTTAGGGAAAATAAAAATTGCAAGGAAAGGAATACAAAGAAAATTCCTCAGCAAAGAACAAATTGGTGACTACAAACACGAAGACATAAAGGTGGTTGCTACTCCTAAAGCCTCGTCGTTTCCTTAACCGTCACAAAATCCTTTTGAGAGATAAACACTCATGTTGAATTAACTGAACATAGGGTTGGAGAACATCACGAAGAATGGGTGGGCACCTATAAATTTTGAGCCTTAAAAATCTTTTTTCTAAAAACCATGAACCAGGCCTGGTTACAACCTTCAAAAGTCCTAATTGAAGCAAGGTTATTTTGAAAGCATACTTCCATGAGATAGTGTTCCAGACTCCCATGAATGTTTGTTAAATAGTTATGATTTTTCCTATACAAAAATAAATGATGCTCTAACTCGCAAAATTTGTGCGATATCTTTTCAAAATCTTCAAGACTTACATAACTGTTGCATTAGAATTTTCATTCTCATGATAAACTTTTTCTAACTGCAAAACATTTGTTTGATATCAAGGAAGCTCACATATAAGCATTGGTGATGAGTTTATTCTTTTAAGGCCTGAAACTATTTTGAGTAATTGGCGAATCATTTCAAGAAAAATCATATCCAGAGGCATGTCACCTGAAGACCTTGAGCACAAACATGCTGCTTCTCCCAGTTAATGCTTTTCCCGACTTGTTTGCTCGTTTGGGGCAAAAATTCGAAAACTTTGTTGTGCCGACTATAGTCAATCCGGGGCAATCACATCGAGATTTGATGAATCTCTCTAAGAGTTTGAAGACACCAGAGCATAGTGAATGCCAGGTCTTTTGTAAAATCCTCTTAAGACGATTTCTCCTTATCAACCATATAGCTTG